CTTGACTGTCTGTGCCTACTTTGTGTCTCGTTCGTGTTGTGGAGCCTGTCCTTACCTGGTTTTTGATGTGTTCCAAATACTTTAGGTTGTCCTCAGAAGCAAATTCTTGTTTTGCATATTTCCTTCCTTTGGCGTTGTTTATGAAGTTCCAGGCAGCTTTGGTGTTCGGTTCGCAATTTAGTTCTTCCACTCTTCTCTTGTAGCTGCTGCTCTTTGCCTCTTTTATTGCCTTTTCCATTCTGCGGGCGCTATTCTGGACGCCTCCAGGTCCTCTATATTATTGGTTAGGTTAGCTTTTTTCCTGTTGGCCGTATGTACTCCGAATAATTTATTCAGGTCTTCATTCCACCATTTCCACTTTTAGGGGTAAACAAATTTGGGAGTTTGTGAATATCTTTAAGTGTGGTCAGCACCGGGAAATGCCTACTGCCTCCTATGCTGATTTGTGAACACTGCCATTCTAATTTCTCTTTATCTAGGTTGGTGAAGGTAAGATCCAGTATTGATCCCGCTTCATTACATACGTGCGTTTTGGTGCCATCGTTTAGACATAGAAAATTTGCGTTTTCAGTCTCGGAGCTTAGCAAACTGCCTTTAGGTGTGTTTATTTGATCGCCATACTTAGTACATCTAGCATTAAAATCCCCTAGTAGGATTACATTTCTGAAATTGCTCAGAAATATTAACAAGCGGTTTATTTCTGTCGAGAAATCATTGAATCTTAGGCTAGGCGGTAAGTATGCGTTATATATGGTTATGTTGGTGTTTAGGCTAGTAGTCTTTGCTATTAGTACATCCATATTGGTATTATACTTAATTTTCGTGAATTTGAGTCCTCTTTTGAAGCCGATAGCTACCCCTCCATAACCATCCGGCCTAGTCTTCCTTAGTAGATTAAAACCTATAAGATTGTGATTTGTTGTCAATTCGTCGTGTGAAAATATTTCCTGAAGGCATATAATGTCTATGTCGTGCCTACTATTAAAGTGGTCTTAATAGTTCTTATTTGCCTTAAGACTTTGTATATTATATTGTAGGATTTTCGTGTTCATTTGTGGGAGTTGGTGTAATTATATCTCTAACTTTACCAAATTTCTCTAGCAACTGTACTAGGGGTTCGTTTTGATCTATTTCAAACTTTTTAATGAGTAAGCTAACCAGTTTCTCTATTTCTGTCACTCTGTCCCACTGTGCACTTAAAAAGACAGGCTGTTTAGTTGTGTATTTTCTTTTTATACTGATTGCTTCCTTTTCGATATGCATGTTTGCGGGTTTGTACTGCGTTACTTGACTATACTTCTTTCTTGTCAATTTTTGGTTAACTACCTGTTATGACCTGATTGTGATTGGAAAGAGTGGCCGGAAAGTCTTCCTCTAAATCTAACAGCGAAAAACGATTTGCTCTATTTTCTAAACTATACATGTCAAAAGCCTCTTTTTTTGAGATTTTTTTATGGTCATTATCTCCAACACTTTTTCTTCTTTCTGCCACACTTCACAAGCCTTTTTGTAAACTGAGTTGTGACCTTCACTCCCGCATAGAATGCAATTATTAGTATTGGTTTTACAGTTGCTATTACATCCTTCCTCTTTTCCGCAAACAATGCATCGGTTTTTGGCTTTGCAGGTTAACCCGGTAGTTGAAACACTGTCTTACCCTCGGAATATAGTGCTGCCATTTAAGCTTAACATAAAATAGGTTTATTGTTTCCGGAAGCTCATGTCCTTGAAAACCAATTTTAACCGAAAATGTTGGCAGAAATTTTTCTCTATCATTTGGGTCCCGTCTAGTTAATCTAGTTACTCATGTCACTTTTATGTCTGATATGATGTTGCTTCAAATTTCTTGTTCAGAAAGCCCCATGGTTTCAATAAAATTTCTTGGAATGAATGGCTTCATTTCATTTTTAGTCAAATATTGGTTTTCAAGGCACTTGTTTGCTAATTCGTACGTTTCGAAAAAAACTTTGTATAAAGATTTCCCTATGGCCTTAATATTTTTAATGCCCACTATCTGAAAATTTCTAATTTTATCCCACAGGAAAAGGCCATTTCGCATTCTGTCGTTATTACACATTGGGCTTTTTGATGTGTCTATTAAAATACAAAATTCCCCCCTATGTACGTTTGTGTACCGCACACTGTACTTAATAATTTCGTTATTCGCAGTTGCTGTTTCGTTTCCACTTTTTCCGCTTATCTTTCTAATAGCCTGGCGTACGTGCATTCTGTCATTTTCGTCCGACTTAGTCTTTTTATTATTCTTTCTAACTGTACCTAATTTTGCACTGTCTTCGTCCGTCTCAGAGTCTTTTTTCTCCATGTTACTACCTTCAATTATTCTTTTCCTGTTTAATTTTTTCTGATTTCTACAGACTTCGAACCAATTCGAGGCAATAGAATCAGACTCATTAATATCTACAGCCTCTGACGCCGAGGCGTCGGCCATGCTGCTTTGAAAACTTCTTGCTCACTTATATATGTATACACCGCACTGAGAAACTTACCCACTGAAACATGCCAAACTTGATGCCACGCTAAATTGTCCTCTAATTATAGAGTTGTCTTTACTAGTTCTATATATTTTTATTAAAACACAAATACTGCACAGTGATAAAAGAAAACTTAACACTTATAAATGCTGCTGAAGTCGACGTTCCACTAAAGATGAGTTGTAACCTCCACCCTCGGCTGCTATGCTGCGAATGGCTACTTTTCTTTGTTTTATAAAATATTTATTACTTTTTTGTGAAAATATAACCGACTATCTAAAAAAACATGTAAATCAAATTTGAAACTTTGTAGAACTTATTAAAATTCAACAAATTTTAACAAATGGTGATCGAAATTTTAAGAATTTTCCAGAATTTTTTTGAGTATGCAGTTTAGTAGTCCCTTAAATTTTAGTGTAACAAAGTGCAAGTTTGAAGTAGCTTGGACTTACCATTGATTTATGCCAATTTTTTGTTCGCGCATATTCTTCCATACAAAGTGTGTTCAAAAACGTTTTGTATAGAGAAAAGAAGCAACTTCTTCCACAAAAAAATTTACCAAAAATCAGCGGTAAGTGCTTAAAATTTTCACTTTGAATTGAATAGGCTACAAAACTGCATACTCAGAATGTTTCTAAAATATCTAATTAATATTTTCGCCACTGTATCTACAACTTGTATTTTTTGAGGGAATTAGTATTATATTAATTCACGTTAGAATCGTTACATTAAAAAACAAAAAAATAAACTTAACAAATAGTTATACAAGTTATTTTAAGCAAAAAACACAGCCGACTTCAACTCCCATATAAAAATTTAAGAGTACCGTTAATTTCTTAATTATCTAATGATCGGGCCTAAACCAAATTAGTGTGGAATCACCTCTGAGGTACAACCTTTCCTTATAGAAATCGGTTAACGTTGTCCAAATTATGCGGTAGAATACACAAGAAAAAATATGTTCCGATGAATTGATAACCTTCCTTTTTTGAAGTCGGATAAAAAAACTTAGAAAATGTAGAGAATAATGATAGACTGCAATATAGCGAGAGTACCAGTTTGACAGAAAACATAACCTAAGATCGAGGAAAAAAGGACGCTGGCTATGTTTATGGATCCCTTATATACTATGTTCTTTGTGATAACGAAAGTGCTGGCACGTTTGTACGAAAATTTTTTTTTCAGCCACAGTACAGGGAAACTCTTATTAAATTAATAAAGAAAACTCTGAAAATCGGGACTTAATCGGTACACTTAAACGTTCCGACTTTAAAAAAATATTCAGCGATACAATTTTCCAAAAGTCGGTACTATCCCGCCAAAATCGGTACGAATGGTCACCGTAGATATACACCTCAATACCCCTCTTGGCTCCGCCACTGATAGGTGATGTTAATAAATAACGTTCCTAACGACGAAGGTGTAATTCAGATACAATACACTTAATACGACCTGTGTCTCTATTTGAATCGTCAAGTTTTAGAGTGGAAACGGAACACTGTTGAGGAAAGGAAGAACTTCTGCCGTTTTATTAAGAACTTTACCTACTTTCCCACATTTTTCCCATTTGTTTGGAGTGTCAGTGTCCACGAAACCTCTGTTTTCTTCCTCGAAATTATTAAGCATTTCGGGGTACTATTTTTATATAAATAGGGCAAACTTGGAAGTTAGAGGGAGCTCGAGCCCCCCATGATCGAAATGTCAGTTAATCGTTATTATCTTGTAATTAATTGCAATGATTATTTTTTTCCTTGCGCTTAATCATTTGAAACATTAATATGGTAGTAAACTTTCATTGGCATCCCAAGTTCTAAGCCAAAATTTCAACTTCCACTCGGCATGGGCGTAATCATAGTCTAAATAAAGGTTATCTGCAGCTTTTCGCCATGATTTTCAATGGCATATCTGTCAAAAAAGCTGAAACTAACTTTAGAATGGACTTTATTTCGACTATGAATTTGCTCCCATGTCTTTGTTGGGCGTTAATTTTGAAGAAATAATCAGAAATAAAAAAAATGTCTATGAAAATAGCTTGGTTGTCTAATTTAATCAAACACAGCACACTGTCTTACAAAATGTATGTATGAGAAAAATCTTATAATAGATAAGAAAAGATTGACGCTTACACAATCCATTAGTGTTTGGCCGAGCTTATCCTCCAATTTGTGGCGTGCGTCTTGATGTTGTTACACAAAGGGGAGAACCTAGAGTTTTACGCCGATTGTATTTTTACGAGAAGCTGTTTTTATAGCTGAAACACACTCAGGGGGTGACCGTTATTAGAAAATACCATTTTGTTTTTTATGTTTTGATGTTGATCGGAAACTGGGCTTGAACCCAGGCCCAGCGGAATGGTAGCACGCACTGCTAACCACAGCGGTCGCCAATAAAGTAAAAACTATTATAATTACAAAGCAAAAAGTATAGTACTATCTATTATCTTAAAGAAAGAAAATGAGAGAAAATAAATTTTTAACCTAATTGTTTGCCTTGTTTAATACATCCATTTTTCAGATACCGGACAACTCAAGATTCTTGGTCGGCCAGTATGTAACTATTCATGATGACGTCATAAGTCATGTGAACATATCAAATGTAAAGGAGGAGGATGGTGGCGAGTACGCCTGCACAGCACGAAATGCAATCGGAAAGTAAGTATATAATTATCGTCGTTTAAAGTACAAAACCGCGTAGGAACAAAATGCAAAACCGCGTACGTGAGGTGCGATAATTATTTGCTATAGAGTAAAAACACTCATATTTCAAAATGGTTCTCTTTTTTATTAAGCAATCGCATGTGACCAGTATATTTCAGGACGAATGGATAAAGGTTGAGCCATGAGCTTGTGTGCCCAAATCCAATTTTTGCCAAAAAATGTCAGTTGCGCGGTTTTGCAGAACGACCACACGCGGTTTTGTACTTTAAACGACGTATGTATGTACTCTTTCATCTTGTTTTAAAGCTTACAACGAATCCATTCTCACCTATATATAATACGCGAAGGGATTTTTTGTCCAGGACATAAGATCAAAAATCATGCTTACAAGCAGCGTTGCCAGGTTGACGTTTTTAACGTCATTGGGACGTTTTTTGTACCCTGTTGACGTTTGGACGTTTTTTGTGTAAAAAATGACTTTTTTTAACTTCCCAGTAATTTTTCTTTGTTACTAAATCTTATAAGTAGAACTGATTTTGAATTATTTTCTTAATAAATCTTTACAATCTTTGTGTTTTGCTGCATCTGCTT